AGCAGTCAAGACCTTTGATGTGATGGAGAGGTTTAAAGTGGAAGTGGACCAATCTGTATTCTATTCCCTTCTTCGTGCTCTTTGCAGAAGTAAAAACATAGAAGATGCTGAAGAGTTGCTTCTTGCAAGAAGGAAATTTTTCCCACTCACGGCCGAAGGTTTCAATATAATACTTGGTGGTTGGTGTAATATCTTCACCGATGTGGCTGAAGTAAAGAGGGTTTGGCGAGAAATGTCAAATTGCTGCATTACTCCTGATGGTACGTCTTATGCTCTCATGGTCTGTTGTTTCTCAAAGGTAGGGAACCTTTTTGATACTCTGAGGGTTTACGATGAGATGAAGAAGAGGGGTTGGACTCCTGGTATTGGTGTCTATAACCAACTTATTTATGTTCTGACAAGAGAGAATTGCATGAAGGATGCAAGAAATGTTCTCAGTAAAATTGTGGATGAAGGTCTCCAACTGGATGTTGAGACATACAACAGTATCATAGTTCCACTTTGTGAAAGTTGCAAGCTTGAGGAAGCACGGGAGGTACTGGAAGACATGACAATGAAGGGCATTGTTCCAACCATTTTGACGTACCATGCATTTTTGAAACAGGAAGGCATTGACGAAACACTGCAGCTACTGAAGAAAATGAAAGAAGATGGCTGTGGCCCTAACAGTGACACATTTCTCATGCTCATTGATAAGTTTATCCAATTGAATGAGTCTGGGAATGCTCTGAGGGTGTGGACTGAAATGCGAAGATACGACATTAGGCCTGGTTATGCACACTACATGGCAGTGGTCCAAGGTTTGATTAAACATGGATGTATACCACGAGCTTTAGAGTATTATGATGAGATGAAGGGAAATGGTTTTGCTTCGGACCCAATACTTGATAAGGAATTCAAAACTTTTCTGTTGGCCAACAGAGACCACTGGAGAGGAGCAGGCAAATACAATCTTATCCCACAGCGTATCAAACATTCTACAAGACGGACAAGAATTCCATAATACATGTGTCACTGTTAACAGTTAAGCACGCTTCTAGTGCTTCTTTTGTACGACAAAATGGTAAATGCAAACAAATGTGATTGTGAGGTATGTGTGTTCAGTTAACAAGTTGCTCCTGAATCCTCCTAACTAACGAACATGAAACCGCTAAAGTTCTCGCCCGAGTTGCTTCTTCTGAAATGATTCGCTCTCGAGGGATTTTCCTCAGGGGCCGAGTTTCGAAAAATGTACATGATGTAGCGTCAAAAGCTCCTATGATTGCCATGGGTCATGGTTCTTAGTGTTCTGCGTTTTAAACATGTTATATAATGTGTGATCATTTCATATCTATGGCTTCCCAGAATTACAGGTATTGCAGTAAGCAGAGGAACTGGGATTTTATTCCCATGTAAGAAATCCTGTTAGAGGGTCCTTGATTACAGCGATCAACTAAACAAATCGGTAAAAATAGGCAGAGCCATTTAGTGATTTAATACATTTTTGTTATTTTGCGAAGATTAAGTTGGTCACATGAAAAGCATAGTACGTTTTACGAGATGAGCAAGTAGGCTCTTGGATATTTGCAGTGGTTGGCTTCAGAATCGGCAAAAGCTACACAGTTCCAGCTCGCGTAACAAGTGACAAAATGTTATCGTGCAAGACAGCACTTGGACAAAGATTTGGTTTGCCCGGCGGGCAGAATTGGCAAAAGTTGGGAGGCCTGCAAAGACAGGAGGTCAGGTTAGAGTAGCAAACGCAAACTTGTTCCCGCATGCACCTCTTGTTTTTCCCCCTGCGCATATCTAAAGCTGAGATGAAACTTTAGTGCCGGTGAAATGTTTTACTACTAATATAATAGAAACTGTTGGTGGTGTGCACCTTGAGAAAGTGCGTCTAGAGGAGTCGAAATATTCGTTAAAAAAAAGAAATTCTTTTCAAATCTTCGCCAAAAACATAAACATTGCAGAAAGTTAGACCGTGAGCATTTCTTGTGGGCAAACGTAGCAAAGAGTGAACAATTGACCGTCCTTTGGATGGAGTAATGGAAGGGCAAGGCAGGAAATTAACCCCGTATATATAGTCAATCAACACACACCCCGGATGTAAACGATCAGAGACGACGGCACCGGCGTAAAACATATCTGCTCTGCTCAGCGCACCTTCCGTGGGCAATGGCAATGTCTCCTCACCCCTCTCGAACCATTGGCTGCTTGGCCCTGGCCGTTGCCATTTGCGCCCTGCTCCCAGGCTGCTTCTCCAGTGAGTATATATCCATTTTATTTCTTGTTTCTATTTTCACCGTCAAATTTTGAAAAATCAGTCTCAACTCTCAAGTCCCGCTTGATTTGGAGCTCCTTTTTCTCCATGGTTGCAGGCAAAGTTGCCCTGGAGATCTTCGAGAGGGCGTGCCACTGCTTCGACGACCACAATGTAAGCCATGATGGATGCAATATATAGTTAGTTCAATTCGATGTGTGGCATGGTGTTGATAATGTCGTCTGTGGACCCAAAAAAACTTGGAAGGTGTACAACGAGTGCGCGGAGGAGCTTCGGCTGGGCGTGGAGGGGGCGTTCCACGTGGGGCGGGAGAGCGTGGACGAGTACTGCGGCGGGGCCTGCCTCGCCGAGACGGAGATGGCGCTGCGCTGCGTGGAGGAGGTCGCCCACGACGGCTTCAGGTTCTCCAACGGCGCCTCGCTGCTGGCCGTGAAGCGGGCGCTCGGCAGCGGCTGCAGCTACACGCCGGATAGAGGAACCTTCGACATACGTGAGCGCAGGGAGTGCGGCGACGAGTACGGGTACGGCTACCACGGCGCGCTAGGGTACGGCGAGGAGGGCGGCGACCGGCGGTACGAGTACCCGGGCGGCGCGTTTGGCAACTACTGCTCCGGCGCCACCGGCGGCGGCGTGGTGCAGACGCTCATCCTCGCCTTCTTCCTTGTCTCCGCGTCGGCGCTGCTTCTTGCCGTATGAGCGATAGTGATCTTACGTGTACTAGTAGTATTTGTAATGATTTTGGTTTCAGGTTGAGTGATCTCATGATATACTCCGCATATTGTAAATTTTCCTTCTTATTTTTGCACGATGCACCGGCGCATGGTATCCTCTCACAGTCACAGGGCAAGGAAGAACTAAAACAAGAGTACTTACTTTGATCTTAAAAACAAGGATATCTTCATGACTGAGATTTACTCCGTCCGAAAATACTTGTCATCAAAATGGATGAAAAGAGATGTATCTAGAACTATTAGGTCTAAATACATCTCCTTTTATCCATTTTGATGACAAGTATTTTCGGACGGAGGGAGTACCTAGCAAACAAAAATCCTCCAAAAATGTTCATTTGCACCAAGCCCTTTCCTGACAAGAGAATTTCACAGGATATAGCTCAATTCACTCAAGAGTAGGAGAAAACAGAATTGGAATGCCATCACGTGTAGAACGAAAATGCTAGAGCTACATGTGGAATGCTGAACAGACCCTCGCAAAAAAAGAAAAAAAAAAGAAAGAAACGAATGCTGAACAGACGTGCCGTGAGAATTTGCAGCAAAGTGTGTTTAGACTTTGGATGCTTCACTAAAAAGTACTCCCTCTATATAACTTAATATAAGACGTGTTTTGACATTGTCAATCTGTGGACTCTAAAAGCATCTTATAAAAGGTTACAGAGGCAGTAGAATTAATATTCAACATGTACATGCTTGTTACTGAGAAGCAAAAGGAAGAGAAAATCCTCTAAATATGAAGATAGTTTTCGCATTCTACATGTACCTTCAAAGCAAATCATACAATCCCAACACCGTTAGGTCCATCCAATTGCTTTTAAAAAACAAAGATCCATTTTCCTACTGGAGCGCAGAAACATCAACCATATGCGTGGACCAACTCAAACAGGGCTAATATTGCTTTCTCACTAAAAAAAGAGGCTAAATATTGCTTACAACCAATTGGACCTCTACACATGAGCACAGCTACGGCCCTATAGAAATTTCACAAGAAAAAGATGATACAAAGTATTTCCCATAGAAACCATTTTAGATCATAGAGATAGTGCTACCAAATTCTTAATACCTTGTTTCCCATCCCCCCCATTTTGTAGAACAGCAAAATTCAGATAAAGATGCACCAAACACCTTTTTATTCCACCACCAGAACAGAAAACGCCCAAACAGAACCGCAAAACTCAGGTATGGTGCACTTAAATGGTAAGCAGCTTATATGAAGATGTACCATTTCCACTTAGCTTCAGTGTTTATAAGGATTTTCAAAACAATTAACAGAAGCGGGCAAGATGATCTAAAATCTCCGCAAAAATTTCAATTGTATTTTCAGAGCGCTAAAAGGGACTATCACTTGCTGAGATAGTGCCCAAACAATATACTATTTCAGCAAGTATTGTGCTCCCTCCATCTCATAATATAAGATCAGTTTTGCAAACTATTTTAGCTTGCAAAACGATCTTATATTATGGGACAGAGGGAGCAAGACATAAAACATACCCACCAATTTCTGTTTAGTCATTTGGATACTTCTAAGTTAGTGAAAAGGGGAATTTACACTAACTCCACATATGCACCAGATATGTCAACCAGTTTAAACCTTTTGTCCTGGTCAAGCTCGAAATTTCAAGAACCATAAGTAAGCACCAAATCCAGTAAAGTGCTCCAAGATAATGTACAAGATCATAGATCTCCCGAAGTAAAAAGAAAAGGTTAGGGCAATTATTCGTGTACCAACAATAAAATTCTTTTCTTTTCATCATCATCAGACAACACACCGACCAATATCACTGTTCCCCCACACCCCGTATACCTCCACACTGCGTGCTATCAAGACTAATTCATACACAAGTACTAATTCCTGTCCTACACTATGGTTTGAGCTTTGAATGACAGCTACTTGTTGCGATACCAAAATCTCTGTTGTGAGAGCCCCTCAAGGTAAATGGCGTCGTTTGATAGTTACTGGATTTCAACTTGTCAGATGACAGCAGGGATAGGACACAGGAATGGTACAGTCAATGCTTCAGCGGATGGGGATGATGTTGTTCAGGTTCAGGAGGGCCTATATTGAGAAGGAACCTGTGAATCATCTCGAAGCTGGTGAATGTTATAACTGCAGCAGGAGTTGTCCGCAACAGATTTGTGGCGCATCCACGGTAGAACCCAGCTACACCCTCTGCATGATAAACCTTTCTAACACAGTCTATTACCCCTCTGTATCTCGCCTCGGAGTGTGCTCCCTGCTCTTGCAACCTTGATCGAACAACCTGTAATTATTATCAGGAGTGAAAATAGTCTGAGATATATAGCCAAACTAAGAATATTGAGAGTATATTCATTTAACAAGTAACAAGAGTAGAGTAGAGTAGATCATAATTGCAGAGGATTGACTTAATACCTCATGAGGATATGTTAAGGTTGACGCAGCTAGTTTTGCCAGAGATGAAGCAACAGCGACGTCGCCAAAGCTTAATGCTTCAACGGTAGTGTTATCTGTGAAAACAAGATGCCGTCATATGCAGAACTACTAAGCAGGCCATCCAATATGGCCTCTACAAATTTAGCAGCCATGATCATCCAGAACATTTCTCTGTGGAAATTTTTTTGCTGAGAGTAATACCTCGCTCAGCCAGGTAAGCTTTTATCTTCTCGTATACAGGGAACTGAATGGCAACATGAGTGATACCAGCCAAGGCAGGGATGAGTCCACTTTTGGAATAAAAAAAATCAGCAAGCATATCAAAACATAGAAATCTTGAGTCACCAGCATGGCTAAAAGTTGTTCACAATAGGTTTCCATCATTCCGTCAAAAGTTTACCTGTATAGTCCACGGATGCCTTCCTCATGTGCTATTCTCGTCAATGCAGCAACCGTGCCTTTGTATGGGATCATCGCACCCGCTCTTACTCCTTGGGTCTACAAAACAAAACAGAAAGCTGTTGTTGACAGGAATCCTGGTATCTACTTGGATCATATTTCTTGGAATAATGCTAGGTATGACCACTGAATACAAGAGACCCGAAAAGTTTACCATATTCAAAAGCATGCTAGCTAAAGATGGTTCCCTTGCAAGCTGGATGTATTTAATTACGTACAAAATTGCCCAGACATTTTAAACAATCACGTACTTATTGGCGAATGAAGTATTTCAGGAACAGAAATTTCTAACTACAGTTATGTTGTATCATCTCTAATACTGCTCACGACAAGGCATGAATCATATCATACCTGAAATCTTGTCTTGACAACCCAAAGTGGATTTGTTGCTATTGTAGTTGCAGCTCCAGCACATGATGCAGCCATAACATTTGCCCCTAGAGAGAGTTGATGGCTTCCTTCTACAATATTAATGTAAGGTATGACTTGAGAACTGATATGACATGATCCTATGGAAGGTTACAACATCACAAAACAATACCATTGGAAGGTTAAAGCACTAACCGCTGGAAGCAAGCATGCTTTTAAGCTGCTCGTATACAGTAAAGTAGACCTGCCCATTCATACAAGAACGGTTAGCTCTACAACAGCATGGAAGAAAAACATAACAGTGATTGTTGTTAGAAAAAAGGGCAAATACTCACTGCCCAGTTAGGCAAAAGCGCCAGAATAGTCGGGGAAAGACCACGATACAATCCCCGAAAGCCTTCCCGTCTAGCAATCTGTTCTAAGCTCCCAATGATGACACTACCTAGTCAATATATAACAGAGAATCCTGTCAAAAAGATAGAAGAGAGAACTGATGTGATGTAATAAACCTCAGCTCTAAGCATAAGCAATAACAATATGTTGGTACAACAGGACGTAACGGTCTAATGGAAGCCCAGCACACATTTGTATGCACATGATGTGTGCTAATAATCAGATTTCTAGATGCAAAGTCAATAGTAATGAGCATTAAGAATGGGCATCATCCATGCACACATCACTTTCTCCACATGCATGGGATTTGCTGATGGCTTTCTCCTGGAGTATCATTGGGCAGAGCTATGCCCAAAAGCATCACCGCAGCGTACTTGAAGTGAAAAACATTTTATTTTATTTCCATTCGCCACATGCATGAGCATAAGTTCTAAAATGTAATTGTAAGCTCAGCACATCTCTAATAATCCCTGGAACATCAGGCTTAGAAATATTATTACGATCTAGTGTTCTGTGCACAACTAGGGTTCATAGATAACCTATTCCCATCTAAAATAGCCAATGCATATTTTTAGAAGGCGCTGCCAAGAAAAATAGCCAATACATATTGGGTGTGGAATGGGAGCATACAGTGTAACTAGGTGCAACCGTGCAAAGGAACTGCACACATTACACAAAAACACGTAGATGAGATCAGTTACACCCACTCAGCCACCCCACAGACCATCTTTCATGTTCTTACGCGTCCAGATGTTTTCCAATAATGCAGCCTCCACCATTCTTCTTTCACGATATTCTCCTGTAATTAGCTGCATCTTTGGAACCTTCTGCTCATCCAAACCCTCAGAGGAGACATTTTCAACTGATTCTACTGAAGAGGGCAGATGGCAGCGTGGTCTCTTCAATTGCTATTATTTACATTCTTTCCTTATTTCCCTTTTAGCAAACAACTTATATTTTTGGCAGATGGCATCTAGAACATGTCGTTCCATTTTGTCAGAAAGACTTCGAAGTCCACTGCTTACAGGACAAGAAATTGTTGTGTTCTTCAGTATTGTTCAAAATCAAAGTAATACTGGAATTTAAACTTATTTGCTAGTGAGATCTTCGTTAATCTCTAATGAGAAGACTTATTAAGGGGCAAAGCGCAACCAGATTGGCAGTAGATTCGTGACTCGTGAGAGAAAAAAGAAACTAGATGACATTGAAGGATTGCGCAACGAAATCGTGGGAGATTGGAAAAGTGGTAGGGGTAGGACAGCTAAGCCTAGATTGATCTCCCAAGCATTTGTTTTACCTGGCAATCACTGAATACCAACACAAACATATTCAGCACTAAAGCAACCTATCAGCAGATAGCGGCTACATGTACAGCTGGTTGTTCATGCGTGTTCTCCATGCTTTTCACATGCAAGAACAAATACATGCATTATGCATATCCCTTTCCACTCAACATGCAAGATTTCATAGGTCACGCAATCTCAGATCACCACGTGATCCCTCCCATATGATTCAAGTAATTTTAATAAGTGACGATTATGCAAGACACAAACCTGTAAGAAGGCCAAGGATGACATAACTGATCCAACAAGCGATTCAAACCATTATAACATTTACAATCAGATGTGTATTCTATTGCTGAAAAGTATTCTCTCTCAACTCCCTAACTTTTGGACTGTGAAAAAACACCACAAACTAATACTACACGACATCCCCTCCATGCAGACACTAATTCTCACCAGTGGATACATTCAAGCCCAGCATCAAAACTTTGTACCGAAAGCAGGGTCATGTAGCGTTCTAACACTATGGCTGTAAACTGAAGCAAAAACTGCAATAGTTCATCTGAAGAAATGCTCACCTCCAGCTGTGCCAGGGGCTAGCTTGGGCCAGCCGTGCACCTGGAACCTCGTCTTGATCACATCGAGCGGGCACACGAAGGTCGCTGCTATCACACCTGCGCACAAGCCCCCAAATCCAGCAATTACTTCCCATAGGCATACACCCCCAAACCGAACAGACCAGTAGAGCGAAATGGAGAGAGCTGTCGCCACAAATTACCGGCGGAAGCGCCCGCGACGGCGTTGGAGAGGGCGCTGCGGGCGGAGGTGGCGGGATGGTGGTGGTGGTGCGAAGAGGACGCGGCGGCCGGCGGCCCCGACGCCGTCGCCGGCGAGGTCGCGACGTCCCCAGGCATGTCGCGCGCCTCCCCGATCTGCGCCAGCGGTGCGGCGCCTCCCCCTCAGGCAACAGAAGCGCGGCGCTAGAGCGTCAACGACGGCGGCGCCTGGCCTGATCACATCGGCGGCGGGGTCGCCGGCGTGCGTAGGGCGGGCGGGGCGAACGGGGGCGGAGGTGGGGCCTAGGGTTGTGGTTTGGGATCTGGGCGAGCGGGAGCGGGGATGGGCGCAGGGAGGGACGGGGAATTCGTAAGCTGCTCTATTCCTTCCTCCGCAGCTCGTCCGCTTGCGCTCTCGTATGATATCCTCCTCCCTCCTGCAGGCGAGGCGAGGCGAGGCGGAGGTGAACATGCCCCTGCCCGGGCGGGCCCCGGTGGGTGGAGCGGGGCCCGTAAGCGAGGTCCTCGCACACTGACGTGTGGGCCTAGGTTGTTCGGTTGGGCCCGCATGTCATGTACTACTCGAATGGACGGGGTTGGTTCTTTCCTTGCATGAACACGTTGCCCTGGATTCTCGACGCCGGCGGGCACGTGCCGCAGCTGTGGCTGGCCCGCGGGCCCAGGCGGACTCAAATGGTGTGGTGGGACCCAAGTGTCATTGGTACTAGCCCCGCATTTTTGGGAACAATCGTGTACGTCCCGTGTAGCACTTGTTCGTTTACCATTTTTTTTAGTGAAATGAAACTTGTTCGCTTGTTAATATTTTTATTTTCAGAGAACTTGTTCGTTTACTCCTGTGCTGCTTCGGCTTTTCGCGAGACAAGGCCACGTACGTCTCCCGTTCAAGCCCATTCGCTGCCACGTCACCGTCTTATGGGCCCAGCGTAGCAATGGCCCTGTGCCATGGACAGCGGACGCGCATGTGGTAGCTGAGCGTTGCCGGCGGCTGGGTCCACGGCGATGTCCGGTCGCCGCTTACTGGTGGCGTGGCGCAACGCTGGCCATCCGTCGCGGGGAGGCGGGACTGACCGAACGGCCGTGATGGGTTCGTGGGGCCTCGCGCCGCCTCCCTCGGGCCACACAAACATTTTGGTTCTACGCTAGCCTTTTCGTCTGATGCCCATCGATAGGGGGGAAGAAAAGAAGCACTCTCCATGCTTATCCTTCTTTTTTTTCCTTTGCCGGGTATACTCATGCTTATCAATCTGCATATGTTCTCTATATCCAAGTCCATATGATAGGCACGTTTCATGACTTTCATCCAGTCCGGCAGACAAAACAGAAGCTGGTATTATCGGCACATTTCATCCCGCCAAGCAAACAAAACAAAGTCATGCCTCTCATTCATTAAAAGTATATAATGAAATGAAAATATAAAAAGGAAAATCACAACTCACACAAGCAACTCTTTTTTTCTACTAGCTAGCTAGGGCATTTCCCACACTGAATCTAGACCGGACGTCGTATCCGTCCACAGACAAGGGGATCAGTCCTCGAACACGGACGCGGAAGCCGACCATCCAACCATAGCCGCATCCATTTCAAACCAGATTTCAACTAACCGGACGATTATCATCAAAATTCATTCATAAGTAGAGTGCAAATATGCCTAGCACAAACAGTTCAAATTCAACGAGATTTAACGGATGTTTAACAAGTTTTAGATGGATGGATCATTTTATCCCACACATACTGCCCTTTGAAGTTCATCCAACAATATATGTGTGTGAATGATCTGCCCTCTGACTTGTAGTACATCATGACAGCACGTGCAGGCTACACAACGTGTAGAGCAGCAATGAGTGAATCAATCAAACAATCATGTAGAGGAATAAGAAGCAAAACTTGCAATCTCCGTGGTTGCCACGCGCAATGGACACACCTCCAGCCGATCAACCACGCCACAGTACTTCGTGAGTGAGCTCTGGATGGCGTACCATCGATATGTCAAGGGCTTCGCACTGCGTTCATAGATGATGTGCATGTCACAGGGCGCAATGTGCTTTCACGCATGAAACGAATCATGCACGCTCTGCAAAAGACCCAACCCTTCTGCTATTGCCTACAAATTCCGTTGATACGATCAACCACGCATCGCAGAACAACTCATCCTCCTCCATCAGGTACCCCGCCATCCTTCTTACTCTAAAACGGACACGAAGTTCGAAGCTCGATGATATTTGAACGAACATGTGCCGGGAGTGGAAGACAGTGGAACCAAAACGGAGGATTTCAGTGGGCTGGGGGTGTCGGAGTCCTACATGGCGGCAGTCCAGACCCCCCGCCGCCGGTTTGCTTTCCAATTTATGAAAAAAGGACATCCGGACCGATATAGGACCGTGTTGAATGACAAAACATGTCCATATCACACAATCCGAACGAATGTAAGCGGTTTGATGATCTGCTTTGAAGATGCCCTTATGTTAATAAAAAGAAGCTTGACACATACAGTGACGGATTATTATACCAAAGAGACCTCCTCATTGATGAATTCCATAGCTTTTTAGCCCTCTGGCACGATCTTACTTGGATTTAGTGATTTTCTTTCTGAGTCAAGGAACCACCCTTGACAATTAGATGATGTGAAACATGGAGATACGTTGTGAAGGAAATATGCCCTAGAGGCAATAATAAAGTTATTATTTATTTCCTTATATCATGATAAATGTTTATTATTCATGCTAGAATTGTATTAACCGGAAACATAATACATGTGTGAATACATAGACAAACATAGTGTCACTAGTATGCCTCTACTTGACTAGCTCGTTTATCAAGATGGTTATGTTTCCTAGCCATGAACAAAAGAGTTGTCATTTGATTAACGGGATCACATCATTAGGAAAATGATGTGATTGACTTGACCCATTCCGTTAGCTTAGCACTTGATCGTTTAGTATGTTGCTATTGCTTTCTTCATGACTTATACATGTTCCTATGACTATGAGATTATGCAACTCCCGTTTACCGAAGGAACACTTTGTGTGCTACCAAACGTCACAATGTAATTGGATGATTATAAAGGAGCTCTATAGGTGTCTCCGAAGGTACTTGTTGGGTTGGCGTATTTCGAGATTAGGATTTGTCACTCCGATTGTCGGAGAGGTATCTCTGGGCCCACTCGGTAATGCACATCACTATAAGCCTTGCAAGCATTAAAACTAATTAGTTAGTTGCGGGATGATGTATTACGGAACGAGTAAAGAGACTTGCCGGTAACGAGATTGAACTAGGTATTGAGATACCGACGATCGAATCTCGGGCAAGTAACATACCGATGACAAAGGGAACAACGTATGTTGTTATGCGGTCTGACCGATAAAGATCTTCGTAGAATATGTCAGAGCCAATATGAGCATTCAGGTTCCGCTATTGGTTATTGACCGGAAATGTGTTTCGGTCATGTCTACATTGTTCTCGAACCCGTAGGGTCCGCACGCTTAAGGTTTCAATGACAGTTATATTATGAGTTTATGAGTTTTGATGTACCAAAGGAGTTCGGAGTCCCGGATGAGATCGGGGACATGACGAGGAGTCTCGAAATGGTCGAGACGTAAAGGTCGATATATTGGACGACTATATTCAGAGTTCGAAAAGGTTCCGAGTGATTCGGGTATTTTTTGGAGTACCGGAGAGTTACGAGAATTCGTCGGGGAGTATATGGGCCTTACTGGGCTTTAGGGGAAAGAGAGAGGAGAGGCTGGGCGCCCCCAGGCCTAGTACGAATTGGACTAGGGGGAGGGGCTGCGCCCCCTCCTTCCTTCTCTTCTCTTCCCCCTTTCCTTGACTCCTACTCCTACTACTTGGAAGGGGGGAATCCTACTCCCGGTGGGAGTAGGACTCCTCCTTGGCGCGCCTCCTCCTGGCCGGCCGGCCCCTCCCCCTTGATCCTTTATATACGGGGGCAGGGGGCACCTCTAGGCACAACAACAATTGATCCCTTGGATCTCTTAGCCGTGTGCGGTGCCCTCCTCCACCATAGTCCACCTCGATAATATCGTAGCGGTGCTTAGGTGAAGCCCTGCGATGGTAGAACATCAAGATCGTCACCACACCTCGTGCTGACGGAACTCTCCCTCGACACTCGGCTGGATCGGAGTTCGAGGGACGTCATCAAGCTGAACGTGTGCTAGAACTCGGAGGTGCCATAGTTTCGGTGCTAACGCTTCCGCTTACGGTCTACAAGGGTATGTAGAAAACACTCTTCCCTCTCATTGCTATGCATCACCATGATCTTGCGTGTGCGTAGGAAATTTTTGAAATTACTACGTTCCCCAACAGTGGCATCCGAGCCTAGGTTTTATGCATTGATGTTATATGCACGAGTAGAACACAAGTGAGTTGTGGGCGATACAAGTCATACTGCTTACCAGCATGTCATACTTTGATTCGGCGGTATTGTTGGATGAAGCGGCCCGGACCGATATTACGCGTACGCTTATGCGAGACTGGTTCTACCGACGTGCTTTGCACACAGGTGGTTGGCGGGTGTCAGTTTCTCCAACTTTAGTTGAACCGAGTGTGGCTACGCCCGGTCCTTGAGAAGGTTAAAACAACACTAACTTGACGAACTATCGTTGTGGTTTTGATGCGTAGGTAAGAACGGTTCTTGCTCAGCCCATAGCAGCCACGTAAAACTTGCAACAACAAAGTAGAGGACGTCTAACTTGTTTTTGCAGGGCATGTTGTGATGTGATATGGTCAAGACGTGATGAGATATAAGTTGTTGTATGAGATGATCATGTTTTGTTGAAGTTATCGGCAACTGGCAGAAGCCATATGGTTGTCTTTTTGTTGCATAAGATGCAAGTGCCAAATAATTGTTTTACTTTATCGCTATATGATAGCAATAGTTGCAAGAGCAATAGTTGGCGAGATGACCATGTGACGACACATTGATATAGATCAATATGATGAAGATCATGGTGTCGTGCCGGTGACGATAGAGATCTGTTGGGGAACGTAGTAATTTCAAAAAAAAAAATCCTACGCACACGCAAGATCATGGTGATGGCATAGCAACGAGAGGGGAGAGTGTTGTCCACGTACCCTCATAGACCGTAAGCGGAAGCGTTATG